CCCCCTTGGGCGGGTGTCGGTGCCGCGCAGCCCGAACGAGACGGACCCCTATCTCCACCAGGGCTCGACCTGAACAGCGTTTTCCGTTTTGGTTTTGTTCTCGTTTCCCCTTGTCCCGTCTGCGTTCCGCCTTCGCTGCAAAACAACATCAAAAGGAATGTGGTCCACGAGATCGCTAGAACACCGTGGCATGTCGGCCAGCCTGGCCAAGGCTTCCCCAGAGGGAATGGGGCAGGCCTTGGGTTTTGATGGTTCTGTCTGTCAGTGCCCGCCAGCAATTTTCTTCGTGGCGCTTGACGTGTGTGCAGCCTTGCATTCTGTCATACAGCGCGTTGCCTTTAGATGGTCAAGCGACTTCTCCAGATGGATGTTATGCGTATTGAGCGTTGAAAGTGTAGCTATGCTTCCCGTCTCTACATGCTGAACTTTGGATGCTTACACTCGTGTGACCGAATCGTGTGGACATGGAGCTCATCGCACCCTGTCTGAGGTGAAAGGCTGCAGAGGCATTGTGCAATTCCCCTAATCATGCGCCTCCCATACTCTTTTTCTCGGGGGTGGGCAGAACCCCCACCCTGACACGTCGATCAGTTAATTTAATTGTCCGTTTTCGGTTCTCGAGAGAGCGCCGCGGCCGTCATTTTCCAGGCTTGCGCCCGCCAGGTTTGGGCCCGAGGTCGTTTTCACTAAGCCACATTTTATTAAAAGGGGGTTCTGTCCATCCCCGATTTTCATACGTCCCTGCTTTCTTATCCCTCCCTTTCTCTCCGCGCCCATCCCCAAACCTTTTCACTTCTACTAGCCTTGCACGTCAGCCATTTTCGATGGCCGACGTGGTCAGTGCCTCGGGGATGTCGACGCTCGCCCCGACGCTCCACGATCTTGGCGAACTTTGCAACCATGAGCTCTCAGCAGCATTAAGTCGCACCTGTCCCTCTACAGGAGGAATATTCAAAAATAGTAAAAATAATCGGCCGACCTAGCAGCAGCATCAGCACGATCAATACTGGGGGGGGCGGGCTGCACACATATTCTCTGTCGTTTGTAAGAGCCTCAGTTCTGGCAGAGGAGGCGTGTCTTGTTTGGTGACTGGTCTGGGTGCATGCAGCATCCTGTAACGGTTTTTGGTGGCGGTGGCAATCGCCGTGGTGTTTTTGATGGGTGAGCGGAATCTCTGGGTGGTGCCACCATGTGTTCTCATCCTCGTCTCGTCATGTTGCTGCCGTTCTTTATCTCCCCTGCTCTTTTCCTTTCGAATCGGCAGAGTCGGCAATACCGATCCTGGCTGGAGGAGAGCAGGATGGACTTTCACACGCCCTGTAACACCCGAAAGGGGTCGGTGGATGATCTGCGCATGACGGTGATCGCAGTCACAGCGAAATGTGAGCATGCTAGCAGTAAAAGTGAGATGTACATTGGAGTTGCGACAGTGCGTGCGACTTGCGTCGATGCTTACGGTGGCGTTGGCGGTGGCGCTAGCATTCGCAAGGCAACGCCTTGGTGGCACGATGCATAGCATTATGATGTTCCAGCCTATTTCAGCCTTGATCGCCAAAAAGAGTTTCGAGCACCAAGGAAGTACCGAAACTGGAGGGCTTTCACGTGTCGGGTCCTGGGAGGCGATACTCCTTCGACATTATTTCGATACTGTCCTGGGTGCTCGAAATTGTTTTTGGGATATGGTCCGTAAGTACGGTGGGAACAACATAAGCATAGCAACTCAGCGTGGCTCTTATCATCGCCAACAACGCACAAGAACCAGGTCGGAGGATAGTCAGGGTTGAAGTAGCACACCAGAAGCAGGGACACTTGCAGGAGGTGCCGACGAGTACGAGCAGAGCCGTCCGTGAGAATGCAACGGAGTACGAGGAGCGTGCATTCAGGAAATGCCAGGCCGGGTGAGCGTATTCTGGAATACATAGAATGATACGGGCAGATATGAAGAGTGTTGGGTGACAGGGACGAGATGGAATTGTCAGGCATACGAGAACGACGTTGTCTGGCTCTCGAATGCAGAGCTGGGTTTCGACTACCTGCGCGACAACCTGGCGGTCTACCCCAGCCAGGCGTCGGCCTCATTACTGTGATCATCAGTCTCTCTTTGTCTCTCTCTCTCTCTCTTTTTTTGTTCTCTCTCTCTCTCTCCCTCTCTTTGTTTCTGTCTGTCTGGCTGTCGGTACGGCTGTGTGTCTGTCTGTCCGTCTGTCTCTGTCTCGGTCTCTGTCATTATCTGTCTCTCTCTCTCTCTCTCTCTCTTTTTTTTGGTTTCTCTCTCTCTCTCTCTCTCTCTCTCTTTCTTCCTAGATACATATATATATATATATATATATATATATATACATATATACATATATATATATATATATATACGTACATCTAGATCTTATGCCGGAGTACCGGGGCCCAGACCCCAGGGCGGCACACCCTCCTGGATTCCCCTCCCCCCTCTCCCCCCTTTTCAGCCCCCCCGTCCCTCCGAAGCCTCTGGGGCCTCTCTCTGGCCACCCTGGCCGCCCAAAACACCCTCCAGGGGGACACGAGTAAGCGACGAGAGCGGCGCAGTAGGGCCCAAGACGCCCCGAGATGGCTTCAAGATGGCCGAAGAGCTGCCAAGACGCCCTAAGAAGGGTCCAAGATGTTCCCCAAGAGGGCCCCAGATGGCCAACATCGACCTATTCCTTTAGGACAAATGTTTGTTTTCAGCATGTTCGCTTCTTAGGTCATCACAGCGCCCAGGACGGCCCAAGAGGCCCCGCCCCAAGACGGCCCAAAAGGCCCCCAAGAGAGCCCCAAGACGGCCCAAGAGAGCCCCAAGATGGTCGAGGAGGCGCCCAAGACGGCACAAGATGGCCCCAAAAGGGGCCCCAGATGGGGGAACTCTTTACGCTTCGCGTATCCCCACCAGCCCATCTCACAGCAGCAACTCTTGCGAAGCATGCCGACAGTCGTGTTTTTCAGGCGTGTGTCCGCTTGGCCCCGCATATCTCCCCTGTTCCTCCTTCCTCCCGCCTCCTTGTACATCCTCCTTGTGGGGGGAGCGGGAGAAGGACGAGGCGGAGGAGGAGGGAGAGAAAGCGCTCCTCGTGATTTGAGTCGTTTGGGGTTTCTCGTCCTGGTGTGAGTCGTTCGGGCCCTTCTTCCTGGTGTGAGTCGTTCGGGCTCTTCGTGGTGTGAGTCGTTCGGGCTCTTCGTCCTGGTGTGAGTCGTTCGGGCTTCTCGTGGTGTGAGTTGTTCGGGCCCCTCATCCTGGTGTGAGTCGTTCGGGCCCCTCCTCCTGGTGTGACTCGTTCGGGCTCCTCGTGGTGTGAGTCGTTCGGGGCCCGCGTCGTGGTGTGAGTCGTTCGGGCTCCTCGTGGTGTGAGTCGTTCGGGCGCCACGTCCTGGTGTGAGTCGTTCGGGCCCCTCCTTGTGGTGTGAGTCGTTCGGGCTCTTCGTGGTGTGAGTCGTTCGGGCCCCTCGTCCTGGTGTGAGTCGTTCGGGCTCCTCGTGGGGCCTCTTGGGGGCCTCTTGGAGCCTCTTGGGGCCTCTTGGGGGCCTCTTGGGGGCCTCTTGGGGGCCTCTTGGGGGCCTCTTGGAGCTCTTGGGGCCTCTTGGGGGCCTCTTGGGAGCCTCTTGGGGACCTCTTGGGGCCTCTTGGGGGCCTCTTGGGGGCCTCTTGGAGGCCTCTTGGGAGCCTCCTGGGAGCCTCTTGGGGCCATCTTGGGGCCTCTTGCGACCTCCTCAGAAGCGCAAATGAGCGCTGGCCGTCGTTCGGGCTCTTCGTGGTGTGAGTCGTTGGGGCCCCACGTCCTGGTGTGAGTCGTTCAGGCTCCTCGGGGGGCCTCTTGGGAACCTCTTGGAGCCTCTCGGGGCCTCTTGGGCGTCTCTGGGGGGCCTCTTGGGGGCCTCTGGGGAGCCTCTTGGAGCTTCTTGGGGCCTCATGGGGGCCTCTTGGGAGCCTCTTAGTGACCTCTTGGGGCCTCTTGGGGGCCTCTTGGGGGCCTCTTGGAGGCCTCTAGGGAGCCTCCTGGGGGCCTCTTGGGGCCATCTTGGGGCCTCTTACGACGTCCTCAGAAGCAGAAGTGAGCGCTGCCCCCTGAGAAGGAGAAAATGACGCCAAAACCTTCGTAAAATCAATAATTTTGCTATGAAGGACGATGAGCGCGGCCCCCTTCCGAAGGACAAAATGGGGTCAAAACCGTAGTAAAATCAATGATTTTGGCTTGGAAGACGAGTGGAGGCGCCAAACGGTCTCCCCCCCTCGAGACCAGAATCCTCGTGAGGGTCGTCGTTTTTTGGCCCTCCCAGGAGTCGAAAAAGTCCCCCTTGGTCCCACTCGGCCCGCCCTCTCCAGGTCCAGGGGAGGGGGTAGGGGGAGGGGTAAACCCCTCCCCGAAGGAGAAGATAGGGGGTTAGGGGGTTGAGAACAGAGAGAGCTCGCTAAACCACTCACGCCCAAAGGGCTGGTGGGATTCCAGCTAACATGTCGAGCGCTCCGCCCCAGACCGCCTGCAGCCCCCAAGAGGCCCCCAGGATCTCGAAAGAGGCCCCAAAGGCCCTCAAACAGCACCCAAGAGGCCCCAAGAGGCTTCAAAACTGGCTCCAAGGGCCGCCCGATAATCATGCCAGGAGACCCCGACAGGTATCCAAGAAGCCTTTGACCCACAACCCAGGCGCGGTGGCAGTACGAGCCGCGAGCGGACAGCACGCCACCCGGCAGTCCAGTCGGGATTGCTTCGCCTTGGCGGGCGCTCAGCGTCGCGCTAGCCCGGGGGGGGCGAGGACCGAAAAACTTGGTTTTGGGCGGCGGGCCATTTTCGTGGCCCGTCGCCCAGCAATGGGGCGGGCCATTCGTGGCCCGCCCCGTCGCCCGCGATATTTCGCCTCCTGCCAGGGTGTCCCGAGGCGAGGAGCGCAAAGCGATGGGCGAGGAAGTTGGTTGGTTCTCTTGGTTTCCGCTCGAGTCTCCACGCTGTCTCTCTCTCTCTCTCTCTCTCTTTTTGTCTCTCCGGGTTACAGAATTGCACAGCATAGCTTGCATCACATATGTTGCACCACGTAGGCTGCACCACATCCATTGTTCCACAGATATTGCACACCATATACTGCTTAACATCGATTGCACCACATCTGTCGCACCACGTCGATTGCACAGAAAGAGCATGTTCTACCGCTGCTAGCGGAAAACCGCGGGGGGGGGTCACTACCGGTTCGAACCCGCCCCCCCTCCGGAAAACTGGGGGGGGTCACTACTGGTTCGAACCCCTCCCTCCCCCCCAGTTCATCATGAAAAGGGGGGGTGTCACTACCGGTTCGAACCCCCCCCCCTCCCTCTCCTCCGGAAAACCCGGGGGGGTCACTATCTGTTCGAACCCCCCCCTCCCCCCCCCCCCCTCGAAAACCGGCGGGGTGACATTGGGGACAGTCGGGCAGTGGTTGGGGCTATGGAGAAAGTGGGGGAGAGTGGAACCGTGGTGGGGACAGTGGTGGGGACAGTGGGGACAGTGCGACGGTGGTGGGGGCACTGGTGGGGACAGTAGGGACGGTGGTGGGACCAGTGGGGACAGTGGTGGTAAGGATAGTGGTGCTGGGGACAGCAGTGGGGGATGTGGTGCGGGGACCGGGAGTCGTTTGCTGGCGGTGAGCGTGGGGGGGGGGAGAAGTTCGAAGCGGTTGTGACCTCCTCGAGTTTTCGAGGGGCGGGGGTCCAAACCAGTAGTGACCCCTCCCCAGTTTTCGAGGGAGGGTCCGAACCGGTAGTGACCCCCTTCGGTTTTCCGGAGGGGACGGAGGGGGGGGGTTCGAACTGGGAGTGACCCCCCCCCGGTTTTCGAGGGGGGGGTTCGAACCGGTAGTGACCCTCCTCGGTTTTCTGGAGGGGGGGTGGAGGGGGGGGGGGGCGGTTTGCCGGGGGGAAGGGAGAGGGGGGGGTGTCCAGCAGGGGGGGATTTTCGAAGGGGGGGGGGAGGGGAACCCCCGGGTTCCGGAGGACGAGGGGGGGGAATTCACGCTCTCTCATTGCACAACATGTCTTGCACCACGTACACTGCACAGTATATAGTGCACAGCACATGTGCTACCCTGTGTATCCGTACCACATATATTCTCTTTTCTCAAAAGAGAGTAGACTCTACCTCCCCCTGGAGTTATCGCTACCCCTTTCGGGTATGTAAGTCGCATATGATTATGACCACATGTCCATCCTAAATATGAAATCGCAATGTCCCAGGCCAACCGGGTTCCCTCCCTGAGGTTCCCTTGTAAAATACACTATGCGGTGACATTTTTTGTTCTAACATAAGACTTTTTCGCGAATTCCTTGCAAACAATGTGACGAAGTGCACAATCGCGCGTCTTCGCGCGCGCATGCCGAAATCCTTCAAACCTTCGGCGTCGGAAGGATTTCGCAATCGAGTTCCCAAACAACATACAAAAACACAGGGTTTCGTAACACTGATTTGCTAAAAAAGCTTACGCGCGAGCTCTTGCGAAATCTTAAGAAAACCATTGGTTTTTCAAGATTTTCACAACATGCTACCAAACGGGCGTCGCGCGCGCATGTCGAAATCTGTCGAACGCCCTTGCGCGTGTGCCGTCGCGAGAATCCTCTCCCCAAAAATGGGACGAAGTGCAGACGCGCGCGTCGTCGCGCGCGTATGCCGAAAACCTCCCAAACCCATTGGTTTCGGAAGGATTTCAAAATCGCGCGTCCAAAAAGCCTACAAAAACACAAGGTTTCGCAACACGGATTTTGAACAAAAGCGTGCGCGCGCGCTCTTGCGGCGTCGTCGTCGTCGTCGTCGTCGTCGTCGTCGCCGTCCTCCCTCCTCCCGCGTCGTCGTCGTCGTCGCCTACGTCGTCCTGTGTCTTTCCTCGTGTTCGTCGTCGTCGTCCTCTTTGGCGTCGTGGTCGTTTCCGTCGTCGTTGTCGCCGTGGTCGTCCTTCCTCCTCCTCGTCGTCGTCGTCGTCGTCCGTCGTCGTCGTCCGTCGTCGGCGTCTCGTCGTCGTCCCTCCTATTTCGTCGCCGTCGTCGTCGTCGTTGTCGTCGTCGTCTCGTCGTCGTCTTCCCCCCTCCCTCGTCGTTGTCGTCGTCGGCGTCGCCGTCCTTCCTCCTTCTTCGTCGTTCGCGTCGTCGCCGTCCTCCCTCCTCCCTCGTTGTCGTCGTTGTCGTCGTTGTCGTCGTTGTCGCCGTCGTCGTCCTCCCTCCTCCCTCGTCGTCGTCTTCATTGGCGACGTCGTCGTCGTCTTCGTCGTCGTCGTCGGCGTCGGCGTCGTCGCCTTTGTCGTCGTCGACGTCGACGTCGTCGTCGTCGTCGCCGCCGCCGTCGTCGTCGTCGTCGTCGTCGTCGTCGGCCGTCTTGCTTCTCCGGCCTTCTTGGGGCGCTCTTGAGACGCCCCCGAGGGCTCCAAGACGACCCCGGAGCGATATCTGTGCTCGGTCCCGCATGGGTTTTGCAAACCAAGTTGCGGGTGGGTGGGATTTGCAAACCAAGTTGCGGGTGGGTGGGTGGGATGATTGCGCGAGCAGTGGAGTTGACAACTTCAAGTTAGGCTGCACAACGTATGGCACCACGTGCCATTTTGATTGATCATTGGTCCATATTATATCAGGCAAGACACCGATTGCTATAAGCACACGGTTGGGGAGCCAGGGTGGTATATATGATCGCGGGCTCCGGGCCCACGGGCCCCCCCCCCAGATGGGATGGGTCCCAGGGTCCTCGGGCCCCTCCCCCCCCCCAGATGGGATGGGGGGGGAGGAGGAGGAGGAGGAGGAGGAGGAGGAGGAGGAGGAGGAGGAGGAGGAGGAGGAGGAGGAGGAGGAGGAGGAGGAGGAGGAGGAGGAGGAGGAAGGAGTGCGGAGGGGAGGAGGAGGAGGAGGAGCGGAGCGGAGGCGGAGGCGGAGCGGAGGAGGAGGAGGAGGAGGAGGAGCGAGGAGGAGGAAGGAGGAGGAGGAGGAGGAGGAGGAGGAGGAGCGGACTCGAGGCGGAGGCGAGGCGAGGATGGAGGCGGAGGCGGAGGCGGGGAGGCCGGAGGCGAGGCGGAGGCGGAGGAGGAGGAGGAGGAGGAGGAGGAGGAGAGGAGGAGGAGGAGGAGGAGAGGAGTAGGAGGAGGAGGAGGAGGAGGAGGAGGAGGTAGGAGGAGGCGGAGGAGGCGGAGGAGGAGGAGGAGGAGGAGGAGGGAGGAGGAGGAGGAGGAGGAGGAGGAGGGAGGAGGAGACGACGACGACGACGACGACGACGACGACGACGGCGACGACGACGACGACGACGACGACGACGACGACGACGACGACGACGACGACGACGACGACGGCGACGGCGACGACGACGACGACGACGACGGACGACGGACGACGGACGACGGCGGACGACGGACGACGGACGACGACGACGACGCGACAACGCCGAAGACGACGACGACGACAACGACGACGTCGACGGCACCGGCGGCGGCGGCGGCAACGACGTCGAGCACCGGAGCTTTCCGAAAGCACGCCAGCATGACGCCGCAATCACAGCCACGCGCACATCCACACCACACCCACAGTGGGGGAGGGGGGGAGGACACTGGGTCACCCCACACAAATCCACAGTAACACACCACACCCACACCACATCCACAGGGGGAGGGGGGGCGAGCATCGCGCGGGGGGGTGGGCCCGATGGCATTAGCATTGGGGGGGGGGCCCAAACCCTCGACCATATATACACACCTCCTTCGGCTCCCTCGGAAGACGAGGCGGATGAGACGCACGAGTCGGAGGACCAGGGGGATGAAGGGCAGACAGCTTGCAGGCTGCCCCTGTCCTTTCCCGCCAGCGCTCCTGCATCGCCCTGCCCCTGTTGCGGGCCAGATCGTGCAGTCGAAGCCTTTCCACTTCGCCCTCGTGGACGAGGCGGATTCCATCCTGATCGACGAGGCGCGGTCATGACGCCGACGACGACGCCGGTGACGCCGACGCCAGAGACGGCTGTCGTGAAACTCCCCCTTCATGCTCGCAGACGCCACTTCCGCAGGGTATCGCCTGCAGGTCTTTGCGAGTGCGCGCAGGCATGCCCGCTGCCAGGCCTGCGTCGTAGGCACAAGCTCGCTGTATTTGCGAGTTTCGTAGGCTGGCGGTGGCCGAGGGGTCGTCCATCGCACTTCTTCGATTCACAGCTTCACCTAGAATGTGTAAGACATTTAACGCTGTTATGCTGGAGGAGGAGGACGGGTTGGAGGAGGAGGACTGTGCAGATGGCGCTCGCGTTTTGGGCGGGCCGATTCGTGAGGCGGTACGGGAAGAGAGCTCAGACGACCCTTTGTCATGCTTCGTTCGAGGCGAGCCCCCAGCCACGCTACGCGGTCAATGGGGGGGTGCCCAGGGGGAGCTCAAGGTCGACGCCGTAGTGTCCCCGAGGCGCCCACCCTGGCCGCGAGACGCGCTCAAGGGGGGGTGCTCAGGGGGCGCTCAAGGTTGAAGACATGGTGTCTTGGACTCCCCGCGAGAGGCGGTCAAGGGGAGAGCGTCCGGGGAGTCCCGCGGTGCCCTCTCACCACGTGTATCATATCGTTGGCTTCCCTGCAGCCAAGGACTTCATGTCCCGCTCAACTAGTATACGTCTGCGTGGTTTTCTCGCCAGGGTCCAGGCGCTGCTCGGATAAAAGGTCCCCAGAGGCCCCCCAAAGCGTTCGACGCACCACCATCGATTCCACTCGGGCTTGATGAATTGAACCACTAACATTCTACAGCCTTTGCCACACAGAAAAGCATTCTAGACCTTGAGTAATGCGCTGCCTGAGCCACACGCCTACTCGACTGTAGCAGTAGTAGTAGTAGTAGTAGTAGTAGCAGCAGTAGTGATAGTAGTAGTAGTAGTAGTAGTAGTAGTAGTAGCAGCAGTAGTGGTAGTGGTAGTGGTAGTGGTAGTGGTAGTGGTAGTGGTAGTGGTAGTGGTAGTGGTAGTGGTAGTGGTAGTGGTAGTGGTAGTGGTAGTGGTAGGTGTAGTGGTAGGTGTAGTGGTAGTGGTAGAGGTAG